GTTGTGTTGTGTGTGTGTTTGTGTGTGTGTTGTGTTTGTGTGTGTGTTTGTGCGGGGTGCGTGTGTGTGTGTGCGTGTGTTTGTGTATGCCAACCATAATAATCGATAAAGATGATTAGTCTCGCAGTCATTATTAACCCGCGATTATATTCACTTTTATGCAATTCCTGCCACCGGGCTCCCTCACCGCGAGTCTTTGTCGTGCAAGTGATCCCCAACCGGCTTGCAACACCCGGCACTCAGGCCAGCAAAAAATGTGTACTTCCAAGAGGCTCTCCATTCACGCTGCGAGATCCCCGAGTTTGTTTGTTTGCTTGTTTGTTTCCTCTCCGGGGAGGGTGGGACGGGGACGGGGGGGGGAGAGGATTCGGGGGTGGGTAGGTAAGGGAAAGGGGGAGAGGTGAGGGGAGGGTTTAAGGAGGAGGGTTCGGATTCATGGGGGAAGGTAGGGAAAGGGGGGGGGAGAGAGGTCAGTGGATGAGGGGAGAGGGGGGGAAAAGGTGAGTCACTGAGCCATGAGGAGTGGGGAGGGAAGACTCGGGGTGGGTGTGGGAGAGGGGGGAGGGGATGATTGGTTCATGGAAGAAGCGGGAGGAGGAGGAAGAAGGAGAAGGAGAAGAAAAAGAAGAAGTCGAAATAGAAGAAGAAGAAGAAGACGAAATAGAAGAAAACGAAGAAAGAAAAAAAACAATAAGTGAAGCAATCTCTTCTCGGCGTGTTTGTTGGCGTTGTCGAGGGCGTGTGTGCCCCGCGAGATAACAAATGGGCGCCGAGCTGCCTGCCGTGAGGGCAACGCGCCCACTTCATTTATCAAGCCATTAACTTTCCTTATCACTTGGCCATTCGTTCGCCGTTTTCTGTTGCCTTGTTTACCTTGGCGTTTAACAAACTGTTGCTGGTTATCTTCCCTGGAAAAATTAAAGGAAAATTTAAAAATTGTATTTAATAGCATAACGATTTTCCTTACCGCCGTGAAGACACACTCCTAGAGAGAGAGAGAGAGAGAGAGAGAGAGAGAAGAAGACAGACAGAGAGAGAGAGAGAGAGAGAAAGACAGAGAGAGAGTAGAGAAGAGACAGACAGAGAGAGAGAAAAAAAAAAAGACAGAGAGAGAGAGACAGAGAGAGAGAGAGAGAGAGAGAGAGAGAAAAGAGAGAGCGGGCTTCATCCACTGAATATTAAACGCGTCAGAAGTTTCATAATCTAGCGCAGTTTCCCCTTAAAGTCGAGAAGATTAAGCTTCCCTCATAGAAAACGCGGGGAAGTAATGGAGTCTCCGCCCACGAGGCCGCCCGCCCTCCGCGCCGCCCTCTTCGGAGGCTGGTCGCGGGGGAGGTAGCAATAGAGATATATTGTTTCTCTGTTTTTTTTTCTTTTCTTTTCCTTTTCTTCTTCTTCTTCTTCTTCTTCTCCTTCTTCTTCTTCTTCTTCTTCTTCTTCTTCTTCTTCTTCTTCTTCTTCTTCTTCTTCTTCTTCTTCTTCTTCTTTTTACGAGGGCCAGTCTAAGAAAAGAAAGAAAAAAATAAAGGAAAGAAGAGAAGAAGAGAGGACAGGAGAGAAGAGAGGAAAAAAAAAACATGAAACGTTATTTGGGAGGTTCTTCGTCGCATCGTCATCGTCACTTCAGCAGTTGCCGGCGCCGCTTCGGGAGAGGGAAGGGGTTGCGAGGCCTCAAAGCAAGTCAACAAACAGATTAAGACGTTCTTTTCTGTCTCATAAACAACCTTGCCCTTTCCCTCTCCTCCTACTTTTGCTCTCCTTTTCCGTCTCCTCCTCCTCCATCTTCCTCCGTTTCCCTCTCCTCCCTCTTTCTCCTCTTCTCTTTTCCTCCATTTCCCTCTCCTCCTAATTCTTCTTTCTCTTCTCTCTCCCCCTCTCCTTTCCTCTCCTCCTCCTCTCTCTTTCTCCTCTTTCCTCTTCTCCTCCTCCCCCTTCCTCCACTACCCTCTCCTTCCTCTTTACTCCTTTTCCTTCACTCCTCTCTTCCTATTCTCCCCCTTCCCCCTCCCCGACTCCCCTTCACCGAAAGAGCTTTCAAGCACTTAACACCTTCCTATTTTTATGACAGATTATTAAGGGGAAGCTGAGGCCGTGGGCGTGCGGGCGTGCGGGCGTGGAGTGGGCGTTGGAGTGACAACACAACAGCCTGATACCCGAAATTTGGATTCATCAAGCGGCGATTTGTTTGTTTGTTTACTTGAGGGTTTACGTTTGTTTTGATTCCCTTCTTCGTTGGATGTTTTTGTTTGTTATCGTTTAGTTATATTTTTAGGTGTTTTATTCATTTTTCAGTTTTTTTTTTATTACTTTTTTTCAGTTCTATAGTATGTTTTCCCTTTTCCCTTCCCTCTCTTTCATGTCTCTTTTAATTCACTTTTTCCTCATATTGTACTTTCGTTGCCGATTCCTCCATCTCTCCGTTCTAACGAGTCTCCCCTAAAAACATCGTTTATGATGACTTAACGACCATTCATGATTAACAACCTTATCTCCCTCGCTCTTTCACTCCGCCCTGTCTTCTGTCTTGTCCTCGAGGTTGTTGTGACAAGACAGACGCCCAGGTTATAGGGGGCCTTCTCACTCTCTCTTGGTTTTGCTCTTTCTGTCTCTTCCTCATTCTTTTTGTGTTTTTTGTTTGTTGTTTTTTAAATGGTTTTCTCTTTTGTCTTTGGTCTTCTATCCCATTCTCGAGATTTTTTGTTGGTTCTTTTAGTCTCCTTTTTTATTCTTTTGTTTTTTTTATCGCTTTTCTTTGATTTTTTTTTTTTTTTTTTTAGTCTTTTCTCTCTCTGTCTCGATCTTTCTGGTTCTTTGAGTCTTATTTTTTATTCTACTTTCTTTTTCCTCTCTCTCTCTCTCTCTCTCTCTCTCTCTCTCTCTCTCTCTCTCTCTCTCTCTCTCTCTCTCTCTTCTCTCTCTCTCTCTCTCTCTCTCTCTCTCTCCTCTAACGTGCGAGGTCTTTTGTTTGTTTACGCTGTGACCTCTGACCCCGCCCGCACGCCCATCCGAATTACGATGTGAATGAATGAGGTCTTTAAATGTGCGAGGGGGGGGGAGAGAAAGAGGGAGGAGAGTGAGAGAGAGAGAAAGAGAGAGGAGAGGAGAGGGGAGAAAGAGAGAGGAGTAGGAGAGACGAGAGAGAGAGTGAGAGAGAGAGAGGAGAGATGAGATGATGAGCGAGAGAGAGAGAGAGATAAGATGGGGAAGGGAAGATAAGAGAGAAGAGGGATAATTGAAGAATTTTAGCATTAAAGGCAATGGAAACCCGGGAGCAGCTTTTACTGACAGTTTAATAACATTTTGCAAGAGAGAAAGATGATTGCAAAGGAAAGTGATTTGCAATTATCAATAACTGACAGCTATTTCCACTTTCGAGCCAGTTTGCTTTGGCAATTTAGCCTAGTTGTGCCCACTGATATAAGGAGTTAATTTTATATTATACATATATACATACAATATATATATATATATATATATATATATATATATATATATTTATATATATATATATATATATATATATATATATGTATAATGTATGTATGTATTGTAGAGTATATTTCCATTAGACATCTTGTTAAAAATAGTTTGTCTTCCAATTAAATACCACATTTCAGTTATATGAATTAAATTGTAACAGATGAATTTTCTGTTAGAAATGATCGCCAATATTTCGTTTTTGATGATACATACGTCATAGGAAAACTAATCATTAGAAAAAAAAAGAGACAATTCATGGTTGCCATACTATCCATTTTCTATAAAATCAGGTGACCGAGATATTTTCAAATCCTGATTTTTTTTTTTCTTTTCAACGTTTCCACTGAGACAGAAAAAAACTAAGCATCGTAGTTTTTCAATACTTCAGGAAATCCCAATAATGAAACGAAATGTAAAAGGACGAAAGGAATAAATGACAAACACGGCTTTAAACTCGGTTATTTTATTTTATTTTTATTTAACTGCGACTTGTGCCATACAGTTTAGAAGACATGTTCTCTGCAGGAATGTTTTACAAAGTTTCAACACATCTGAGGGAAAGAAAGTTTGACATGGGGAAATAATGGGGGGAGGAGGGGGGTTATCTTCCTCCTGCTCTCTTCTCTCTCTCTCTCTCCCTCTCTCCATTTTCGTTGGCTTGAGGGAGGGAGGGAGGGAGGAGAGGGATGGTAAAGAGGGGAGGGGTGAGGGTGTAGGTGTGTGTGTGTGTGTGTGTGTGTGTGTGTGTGTGTGTGTGTGTGTGTGTGTGTGTGTGTGTGTGTGTGTGTGTGTGTGTGTGTGTGTGTGTGTGTGTGTGTGTCTGTGTCTGTGTAGAAGACAATATGTTTAAATAACTACCAATTCTGCTGCCTTTTGACCATCCTCCAGTTGGACGAGAGGGGAGGAGGGCAGTGGAGGGGGGGGGGCAGTGAAGGACAAGGGGAAGGGAAAATACAAGTTTCCCAGGTCGACCCAAACGCATCTTCAACCCCTCAGTCTTTGGCCCTTCTGACCTTTACCCTTTTGATGCAACGCTGAAAAATATGTCGCACTTTGAGCTCAAACGGGCCTTCGTGAGGGAGGGGGGGGTGGGGGGTGGCACAGGGCATGGGGGGGGGGGGAGGGGGGTCGAAAGGCGGCAGGGAAATTGCATGACACAGGCCTAACATGGGGGGTCACACATATGCTTCTGTCCTGTCTTGGTACAGCATAAAAATATATATATATATATGTATATATGTTATCTCGACATTACTCTTGAGGTCAAAATAGAAAACAGTGATTGGGAGAACAAGGAGAGATAGATAGAGACAATAATATTTATTTCTCCTGAAAGATAAAGATATTAGAGCATGAGCTAACACTTGGAGGGGAGGAAGGGGTAGAGAGCAGAGGGGGGGGGGAGGGGGGAGGGGAAAAGGGGAAGGGACGAAACAAAATGACCCAAAAAAATGACTTAGAAAAAAAATATATATATACAAAGTCCGCGTGACATATGGATTCCTGTATTAAATCACACGCCTCGATCAATACAATTATATTAAAGGTAACAGTGACAGCAACAGCGACGGTCATGTATTCAAATAAAAAGTAAATCTATGCACAAACATCATCTTGCTAAATATTGCAAAGAACTGGCGGGTGTGGCTTCTTTTTCTCCTTCTCCTCCTCTTTTTCTTTTTCTTTTTCGCCTGAACTGCTTAACTCTATGCTCCCACGTGCGGAAGGAGGGGGAAGGAAAGAAGGAAATAAGGATGAGGAGGAGAGGGAGGAGAAAATGAGGAGGGAAAGAGGAATGAGAGGGAAAAAAGGATAGGAGGAGGGAAAGAAGAATGAGGAAGAGGGAAAGAGCAATGAGGAGGAGGAGGGAAAGAAGAATGAGGAGGAGGGAAAGAAGGGGAACGAGGAAAATAGAGGAAGATGTCTCGACACCTACAAGAGGACAAGGAAAACACTCATCATAAAAGGAGTCAAAATATAATGTTCTCTTTGTCTGGTTTCCTGCACAAAAAACTGAAGAGGAAAGAGAGGGAAAGGGAGAGGCAGATAAATAAGTAGAGAAAGAAAGAGAAAAGAGGAGAAGGGAGAACGAAGGGGGTGGGGGGGAATGGAATGATGGCGAGAGAGAAGTGATGGAGCGAAGATGGACAATCGGCAACGTTTCCTCCACCTTCTTCCCTCTCTCACGTTCTCTCCTCGTCAGATCACGAAAAACGTTTATCTTACAAAATGTGTCTTTAATACATGTGGCTTGACCCCTCCCCTCCCCTCCCCCTCCCGTCCCCTACACTCCGATTTTCTTACAAGGTTGGCACTCTTTCTCGTCAACTAAAGGCTTTTTATTTCTTTGAAACTGAAACCTCCTTTTCTAGAACTCGCAAAATTAACCATTTCTTGTCAAAGCAAAAAAATTTAAAACAAAGAATAAAATCGTGATAATACTGATAATTGCAATAATAATAATGATGATGATGATGATGATAATGATAATAAAAATGAATAATAATAATAATCAAATTAAGACCTGGTTAATACCAATAATAATCATGGTAATGATATTAAAACGCCAACTCTGAACTAGCCTAAGAATCCTTCACAAGTTAACACTTTGATCCACAACACAAAAACATTCTTGATGTGTATTTTACACGTAATAATCAATCAAATCTTGAAATGCAAATCAAATACCCGATACTTTTCTTTACCTTTATTTGATGAAACAAACTGAAATGCGAATTCTAGCAATTTGTGTAACGAAAGATGTACAAAATCTGTTCACAAGCTCGTCGAGAGACTAAAGACAACGACACTCCGAATTCCAAATTAAAAAGAAATGTAATGTTCACAATTGAGGACATCCATATATAATAGGTTTTATATACAAAACAGAAAAAAAATTGCCCTGTCTTACTCCGGCGAATTTTTTGTACTTTTTGTTATTTTTTTGGCCTCCCTTGCTACGGAAAGAAAAGAGAAACGTAAACAAAGAACTTAATGACTACGGTGTGACTTGATATCAAAAGCTTTCGTAATTAGAATCCCCTTCTTGATCATAATGTTTCTCAAAATCATTTAAAAAAAATCAAGAATCCTCTATGTCACACACATACACATACGCACACATACACACAGGGAAGTGTTCTTCTTAAGCATAAAACGTATGTTAGGAACCCTGCTTCGTCGACCACTTGTCTCCCTTCGCGTCGCCAGCAGCCCGGACGTCGCTCTCTGCGTCAGGAGGTCCGACGCTTCGCTGTCCATCGCTGTCTCGGTCTCTGGGTTGTCGCCGACTCAGACACGTCTCTTTTTGGCTTCGTCCGCTACGTAAACGACTTCCTTCGCGTTGCCAGGGGCCTAGACGTCTCTGCCAGCGCTGTCGGTGACGTCGGCGCGTCCCCTGCCGTCCTCGGGAGTCTAAACACCGTCATCTTGCGTCTCCTTCCGTCGCCGCCGTCCGTCCGTTCGAGACGTCGTATCTTTCGGCCGTCGCGACGCACGCCATCCCACATCGCCTTCCTCTCCTCCCTTTGTGCTGCATTGTCGCTCCTGACAATATGTACACACAAACACACACATGTAACTAATAATAGAATAGAAATCTGCTTTCATGATTCTGCAGCGCTGGGAATCCGTGGCGGCGTCCACGGCTCGTCTCTCTACCACTGACGACGACGACGACGACGACGTGCAAAATGAGCTCTACATTACACTGCATCCAGACTGACATACACACTTCGTCTCTAAGAGCGGCTAACGGGGGAGGTTTCCACACAAGCAGTTTCCCTTAATTATTCCGTCAATAAATATGAACATACAAAATTTGGTGCTAATTTGCGATATGAAAATACAATATATATATTCAGCATAGTAATCAAACTTCATTTCTTTTATTTTTTTTTTATCATTTTTAAATTCTTTAAATCTAATCCTACGATTTCTTCTTGCTTTTTATATCTTGAACATCCTCACACAACTTCACAGTCCAAACTCCTTGGGGGAAATGAAGGTGTGGCTTCGTTTAAATTCTCTATGTAAAGAATATTCACAAAAAAGCAGCTGCAGGGGTAGTACCTACAGGCAGGCAGGCAGGCAGGCAAGCAAGCAGGCAGACAGGCGGACAGACAGGCAAGCAAGCAGGCAGGCTGACTGGCTGGTCTGCTTGCATGATGCTGCTACCTGTGCCTCTCGACCCTGGTATTCACACTTGCACTACAACCCGTCCTTGTCCGAGCGATGTCATGCACAGGTCATGCGCTGCAGTTCTCTCGCTCTCTCTCTGTCTCTCTAGAAAGAGGAGAGGCTCTATTGAAACACTCTTTTCTGCCGTTTCCCTCGTGGAACCATCTTTTGGTGCATCACTCTTACGTGTATATGTACATATCTTTACCTTGTTTGTTTTACCTTAACAAAGATAGAAAGTGTTCGTCACACACTGGAAGGCTTCTAGATCTTCGCTCTGTCTCCGCGGGGCGGGGAGAGGGAGAGGGAAGGGAGGGAGGGAGGATGAGGGAGGGTAGGGGGAGGGAGAGGGATCCCGTCGTCCGTCGCTCACGCGCGTCCTGGCGACAAGCACCGGCCTCGTCTGGCGTCGGAGCTCCGCGCACCTCGGCACTTGGCGCCGCCGGCGACGCTGGCCCCGGCGCCACGTCTGTGGAGGGCGCGGTGGCGGCGTGGGACGGGCGGGAGCAGGGGCGAGGGTGGCGGCCGAAGCGGCGCCGCTACACCCACTCCAGGCCGTCGTCAGGGCTGCTGGAGACGGCCTCGCTGTCGTCATCGCTCGTGGCGCGCGCACCGCCGTGGACGCGGGGCGCAGCGGGCGCAGCGGGCGCGGCGGGCGGCGCGGCGGCCCCTTGACTGCGCGTCGAGTCCCCCCTTCCCGGCGGAGGCGCTCCCTCCCCTCCCCCCTCCCTTCCTCACACCTCCGTGCCGTCGGGCCCCTCGTCCTGGAACGCGCGGCCCTCGCCCGCCAGCGACGCCTTGCGCGAGTCGCTGGCGGTGGACGCCACGGACAGCCGCTTGGCGCTGGGCTTGGGCGGCGGCTTGGGCGGCACCTTCTTGGCCGACGCCACCGAGCCCGTCGACGCCGAGCTCACGTCCAGCTCCTTGGCCGCCTTCGTGTTGTTGTTGACGCTGTGGCTGTTGTTGTTGTTGTTGTAGAGCGCGGAGGAGTCGAGCGTGGACTCGTTGCTGGAGGCGAGGGGGGAGCGGGAGGGCGGGGCGGCGGCGGCGGAGGCGGGGGAGGAGGAGGTGGGCGGGAGGTGCAGCGGCGACGGAGCGACCGCGGGCGAGGCGGCGCGGTAGGCGGGCGAAGCGGTCCGCGCGGTGCTGGCGGTGGACGGCGTGGGCGAGTGGGCGGGCAGGAAGGCGCCGCGGGTCACCAACTGCGCCGGCACGCCCTCGGGCAGCGCCTGCTGGTGTGCAGGCAGGCTCAGGCCGGCGCCGCCCTCCAGCAGGTTGGGCGTGGAGCGCGGCAGCGTGGAGCTGTGGTTGCGCTGGTGGTGGAGCGGGCGCGCCGGGCCGCCCGTGGCGGGGGCGTAGTAGGCCGGCAGCCCGGGTGGCGAGGCGGGCGACTGCGGCGTGCGCGGCGTGAAGGGCTCGGCGGCGCGCAGCGCGGGGCGCGTCAGGTCGGTGCGCGAGGTGCCGTCGGCGGTGGTGCGCGGGCCCAGCGTGTCGTAGATGGGGTCGTAGCGGCGCTCGCCCTCCTGCGGCGGCGGCGGCGGGGAGCTGGCGTCCGCCTCCAGCGACGACTGGCCCGCCCACGACGGCGAGCGGTGGCGCCGCGGCAGCGTCACGTAGCCAGGGCGCGGCTGCGGCTGCGGCGCGACGTAGGCCACGGGGTACGGCGTGTACTCGGCGGGGTGCACGTAGCTGTAGCGGTACTCGGCGGCGGGCGGCGGCGCGGCGGCGAACTGCGGCGCCACCAGCGAGTGGTAGGACAGCTGCGTGGGCGACACGGCGCGCGGGCGCGTCATGTCTAGCAGGTCGGGGTAGTGGCCCAGGTAGTCGACGACGCTGTGCGGCGGCGCCACGCACGGCGCGTCCAGCGGCAGCGTCGTGTCCTGCGACGGGAGGTCGTCGTCCTCCTCCTCCAGCGTGGCCAGGGGCGTGCGGTGCGCCGCAGGCCCGGCCTCGGGGTAGTCCACCTCGTCGTAGCTGCGGTGCGCGCCCGCGTCCGCCGCCAGCGCCGCCATCTCGATGTCCGTCTGCGGCACCTGCTCGTACTGGCGCGGCGGCTTCTCCACGGGGTTCACGATCATCACGTTCTTGTGCTCGACGTGGCCGCCCGCCGTGCCGTTCACCTTGGGGCGCGCCTTCATCTCGCGGCTCTTGCGGCGCCGCAGGCAGCAGCACAGCGCCACGATGAGCAGCAGCAGCAGCAGGACGCCGCCCGTGGCGATGCCGATGATGACGTAGAGGTCGAGCGTGGCCTTGGGCGCCACGGCGCCCGTCTGCGAGGGCGCGGCGGCCACCAGCGACACGTTGTGCTCCACGAGGCCCGCCAGGTTGTCGGCCACGCACGTGTAGTAGGTGAGGTCGTGCTCCTGCACGTGCGTGACGGTGAGCTCCGACCAGCGCGTGGCCGCCTCCACCACCTCGCGCACCACGTAGCGCTGCTCCGGCTGCGAGAACGGGATCACCGACATGTTGGTGAGCACGCGGCCGTGCAGCACCCACTTGAGCTGCGGCAGCGGCTCGCCCGTCGCGCGACACGTCAGCGACGCGTTCTGGCCCGGCGCGGCGGGGACCTCCGTCTGCACCACGATGAGCTCCGGTCGGCAGGCCAGCTCCTCGTCCTTCACGCTCTCCCAGCGGCGTCCCGACACGCGCTCCGGCGAGTGGCACGTCACGTGCTCCTGCAAACACAAGGGGCGTCAGACAACTCGGGAGGCAGAGGCACATGCAGGGGGGAGGTCAAATGGCCACTTAAGGCACACTTATCAAAAACCAAACCAATTTACATGTTTACATGCCCCCCCTTCCTAAACCTCCGAAGAGACAACCTTCTACATCTCCCGTTTCCCTATCCCCCCTCCCCCTCCTCCCGCCCTTCCCTCCCCCTCACCTGCAGGAGCGACCTCTTCTTGGCCCAGCGCACGAGGTTCTTGAGCCGGCAGTCGCACTCCCACGGGTTGTCGTGCAGCTCGAGCTCCACCAGGTTCGTGTTATTGACGAAGAGTTCCGGCTGCACCAGCTTCAGCTTGTTCCCCGAGAGCCTGTCGGGCAGTGAATGGGTGAAAGGGAATGCAGTGGCTTTGCTTGTATCGAAAACAAAGGTGTATTTATCATGCAGAAGGGAAAAAAAAATCAAACTAATCACAGCAGGCGAACTTAAAAAAGAAAGAAAAAATATATCCTTATAAATAAAAAACAACGCATATAATCAAACTTTATTCCTGTTAATATCATACCTTACCGAAAAAGAAAAAGAAATATGAAACAGCAGCGCCATTCTCAGCAGTACTTTCGCATGATTTCCCAGATGAACACTTGCTTCCCCTCCCCTCCCCTCCCCCTCCCCCTCTCATATTCTTAAATAACCCCGGAACATGACACAAAAGAGGGTTCTTAACGCTGTACTTTTCTTGACAACTGGCTGTAGTTCTTGTGCGAAATTAGACGATAGATATGAAGAAAAAACTTTTTTCACAGGAAGATAAAAAAAAAAAAAAAAAAAAAAAAAAAACTTTTCATAGGAAGGTAAAAAATGAGGGAAATGTGGAGGCAAATGAATTTATATATTTTATCTTGGCTTTTATTTCTTACGCCTATCCTTTTGCGCCACTCCCCAACATTCGCTTCCTATCCATCTCCCACTCACTCCACTACCCACCCCACGCCAGCACGCACCCAGCCACGCCGAGCACCTGAGCGACGTGAGCAGCGCCAGGTTGGAGAAGGCGTAGTTGTTGATGTAGACGAGGTCGTTGTTCCGGAAGTCGAGCTTGCGCAGGTGGGGGAGGGGGGGGAACTGCACCCCGTCCAGGCGCATGAGGGAGTTCTCGCTCAGGTCCAGCACGCGCAGCTTCTCTAGGCCTGTGGGGGAAAAAAGGGGGGGAGGGGGAGAGAAAGGGGATGATTAGTATCTTGGGTTGGGGAGAACGAGGGGAAAGTGGGTTGAGGGGGGGGGGAAAGAACGTAAAAGAGGGGAGAGAAAGAGGAAGAAGAGGAACAGGGTAAATAGAAAATGGGAAGAGGGGGAGGGAGAGAGAGAGAGAGAAAGAAAGAAAGAAAGAAGAAAAGAAAAAGTCGTTCAAGCAAAACGAACTACTCGGCCTACACATTCGGATAGTTTTCACTACTTAAAAAAAAAAAGGGGCAAAATAGTCATTCTAAAAACGACAGATAAAAGAGTGCCAGGCCGACCGCGTCTGGGTGCCACCCTCAATTCTCCTCTTCTTCTTATTCCTCCTCCCCTTCCCAACCCCCCCTGCCTCCTCTCCTTCCACCCTCTCTTCCCCTCCTCTCCTACCCTCTCCCCCTCCCTCCTTCACCTCCCTTCCCCTCCCCTCCCCTCTCCCCACCCTCCTCCTCCCCCTCCCTCTCCTTCCACCTCCTTCCTCCCTCTCCTCTCCTTCCACCCTCCTCCTCCCTCCCTTCCCTCCTCCCCCTCCCCTCCACCCTCCTCTCCTCTCCTTCCACCCTCCTCCCCTCCCTCTCTTCCCCCTCCTCCCCCTCCCCCTCCTCCTTCCACCCTTCTCCCTCCCTTCCTTCCACTCCCTTCCCTCTCCTCCTTCCCCTCCCCCCTTCCCCCTCCCCCCCCCTCCTCTCCCCTCCCCTCCTCCCCTCTCACCAGTGAAGGTGTGCAGGTGCAGCTTGTCGACCTCGTTGGCGCTGAGGTCGAGCTCGATCATGATCCTGAGGTCCCTGAAGGCGTCCTTGTGCACGCTGCGGATGCTGTTCTCCTTCAGGTACAGCTTCTGCAGGTTGACCAGACCGGCCTTCTTGAACGCGTCCTTCTCCAGGTACCTGCGGGGGGGGGGGATGGAAGGAGAAAGGGGGTGAGTATATAAATGGCGATG